GCGAATTGAACCCAAGATCGTAAGGTCGCACCGCAGGCTGACGTCGGCTCTGCCCTCTGAGCCAAACACTCCAGGACCTCACCTAGTTCTTTATCTAAATAGTTTGCTGCATAGATAGCTAGCAGGAAACAATACACGCGATAACAATAGCAATGAAGGAATTTATGATCTCTGTCCTGCAGAGCCCCCAGGCGCATTCGCTTGTGTGGGGTGGGGTGGGGGGAGGGGAAGGGGGTGGAGGCGGGGCGGGGATGGCGGGATGTTACAAGTTCCTCTGACATTTCAGAGTTATGTTGTGTTGGATGCAAAAGGACCATAGATTCAGTTAAGGTAAACACTGACCTTGTCAGGGAAGACTCCGGCCTCGGACTCGACCAGCCACCACAACTGCTCTTAGTAACAGTCTCCCTTCAGACTAGAATTGTGGTCGCTTTAGGCCTTTCAGTTTGCAAGACCACCACGCAGCCCTTCCCTGAGCTCGTGGGGTTAGCATGTGGCCTCTTTCTTCGTCCACAGTTGTGTGGGAATAAAGGAGTCATCCTTTCTGCCAAAGTAGGGAGTTTTAGCCTTAACTGATTTGTCTCAGAGGATAGAGAGTCGTCCTGCAGACGGAAGGGTCCCGGGTTCGAGTCCAGAGAAGGGCACCTGCCTGTGGTGTGGGCTCCATCCCCAGTGGGGGAGAGGGGGAGGGCGGCGTGCAATGAGGCAGCCGCCATTTTGGCTCCAGTGACTTGGAAGCTGCCATTTTAAAAAATATATATTTTATGGATTTTTTTACAGAGTGGAAGGAAGAGGGATAGAGAATTAGAAACATCAAAGAGAGAGAAACCTCAATCAGCTGCCTCCTGCACACACCCTACTGGGGATGTGCCCACAACCAAGGTATATGCCCTTGACCGGAATCGAACCCGGGACCCTTCAGTCCGCAGGCCGATGCTCTATCCACTGAGCCAAACCAGTTAGGGCGGCAGCTGCCATTTTGAAACGGCAAAGGTCAATCCCTCCCTTTTATCCTCTCACCGCCGCTCCAAATCCCCCGTTTTAACGTCCGTGTTTTAATAGCACGAAATACAAGTACAAAACATTGTACAAGTATACTTTTTACTCCACGGAGGTGGAATAATACCTTTGTGTTGTTGTTGTCATTGTGTGTGTCTGTGTGTGTGTTTTTTAATATATCTTCATAGATTTCAGAGAGGAAGGGAGAGGGAGGGAGGTAGAGAGAGAGAGAGAGAGAGAAACACCCACGATGAGAGAGAGAGAATCACCAGGTCGGCTGCCCCCTG